TTTTCCATTTTCTTTTCCATTTCATTCTCCATTATAGTAGTTTCCATTTTGTTTTCCATTGTCCCAATATACACCCAAAATATACCCTATAATCCCTATATAACCCTTATATAACCCTATAATCCCTATAGTTTCTATTTTCTTTTCCATTATCCCAAATCTAACCCCAACATATCCCCAATCATCCCTATAAAACCATGATGGTAGTTTCCATTTTCTTTTCCATTATCCCAATAATAGAACCCCAACATCATCAGTACGTGCAGTCTCGGGGGTCGCCTCCTTCTCCATGCGCTGGAGCTCAGACTTCTTGGCTGCCAAGGCCTACAGGACGCGAAAAAACTTCTGGATGTCAAACTTCCTGCAATCACTTTTATTGGGATTATTAAGGGGTTATATTGGGATAATGGAAAAGAAAATACAAACTCCATATTATATTGGGATTATACAGGGGTTATATTGGGATAATGGAAAATAAAATGGAAACTACTGTATTATATTGGGATTACAGAGGGGTTATACTGGGATAACGGAAAATAAAATAGAGACTACTATATTATATTGGGATTATAGAGGGGTTATATTGGGATAGTGGAACGTGAAATGGAAACTACTATTCATACATATAGATATATCTAAAATCTGACTATGAGAACTTCAGAGGATTGGGGATCATGCCTTCAGTCTTAACTAATTGTACTGAGTGTACTGCAGCCACAGACTTCACAAAAGAATCGTTGTAATCAGAGCACTAAATACACGTGGCACTCACAAAGTCTTCTAAAAAACCGCTTTCAGCTGCGCAAACAACAATGAAAATTGAGGTGCTGGCAACTTCCCACACAAACTCTTCAAGAATTTGGGATCTCCTCTAAGGGGCTCTCTATGACAGGGAGTACATAGGATTCTGGCGCAAGGGGGACCCTCATTTTTCATTCCATGGCATTCGAGTTCCAGAAAACGTGGAAAACGTGAGTAGGTTGCACTTCACTGGAAATGTGTAATGGAAATCATGACAAGAAAACTTAGGGTTTGCCTCGAACATCCTTTCTGAGTCAACCTTACATGAAGCGCACCTATGCAGTAGCAGCAAGGAGGAGAACCCCTTGCAAGCGCAACTGTTTACTCTACTCTACTCCATACAACAACAGGTACAAGATACATGCACCCCAGCGGGACACCTCAATCCCAAAGACCCCCCGGCCCAAGCACTCAAGTCCTTAACCGCACACCTAAACCCAAACTCCTGCAGCCTCAATCCCTGAATTTCTTGCCTGCTCTTCCTCGACCACCTCCTGCTGGACCTTCAGAAGTGAACATTGGGTGACACGGCTCTTGCTTTCCTGCAACACAACTACTTGGGAACCTGAGGGGAGTACAAAAGAAACCAATAAGCCCGATGTCTTTTCACATGACTCTTGGCTTGCCGCCAACAGGAAATGCTGAGTCAAGGTCCCGATTTTCGTGGCCGAGGTTTTTTGATTTTGCTTCCAGAGATGCAAGAATTGTAGGATCAAGTTTTATGACCCTTGCCAGTGAATGCCAGTGACACTGCGTCCATCATCATGACCTTGATCAATGGTGGTGTTACATTATGTGTTGATTCAAACAGCCAATGTTGAGATTGTCAATAGCCCTGCCGGGAGGGATTACTTGCAAATCTGAACAAAAGCCTATCCGAAGCTGCTATATCGCAATAGACAGCCGAAGCAGAATCTCATGAGTAGCGTTTTTTGGTGGTTGAACCAAGCAAGATCATATTCCTTATATACAATACTATACCCAAAAGGAGGATATAATCTTACTCTATATTGGGTACCATAATACCCCCAAATAAAATACTACTCTCATGGACACGCAGACTCCCACCATCACGCATGGGGTCCTGCCGATGCTTCTGACACTTGAAGCCGATTAAGCGAGGATCCCTATTTCACGGACACCAAAGCAGATCATACGAGGTCACAGACTTTAGATGTCTTATTACACCGATTGGTCCCGCCAAACCCTGCTTTGCCTTCTGCAGGTTGAGGTTGGCTGCCTGGACCTTCTCAGCAGAAGCCTCAAAGACTGCATGCCAGAGATGGGGTGAGGGATGTTCGGGTTTCTTGGGCTGGAGAGGCTTAGCGCTTCAGGTGCAGGAGGAAGATTGTGGCCTGGGGAGTTGGGTGGTCAAGGTTTCGGGCTTGCCTGCCATCTCTCCACCCCTGGAAAAATCTAGCTTTGGATGCTCCAAGCTACTTCAATCCTTCACCCCGCAACGTCATCCAACAAAAACACCCCTGATGCACAGAACACCTCTAAACCCGAAACTCGAAACCCCAAACAAACTATCCGTAACCCTCAACCCCAAAACCCGAACTAGCTGTAACCCTAAGCCCTAAGCCCCAAAACCCTAAATCCCAAACCCCAAACGAACTGTAGCAGCAGTTGCCGATAAACTGGCTCGCCTTGCGCTGGCTCTCCAAACTTGCTTGCAGGTCAGCCATCTTCTGCTTTGCAGCACGGGACTTGTTCTCCTCTGCCTCAGGTTGGGCTTAGGGCTTCTAGTTCCCCTTAAGTAGATGGAATATGGCCTTGGGTATATTTTATAAGAGCCCCATATACCCCATATTCTATCTACTTAAGGGAACTATAGGGGTTTAGGAGTTCATGGTTCGGGGTTTAGGGGAGCAAGGGCTCTGTGAAGCAGAGGTTAGGTCAAGGTCGAGGGTGGGTCATCTGAAGTTGCCCGTCCATCTCGTTGGAATAATATTGGGATTATATAGGGTGATATAGGGATTATAAGGTAGATATTGGGGGGTAATATTGGGATAATGGCAAATAAAATAAAAGCTATAGAGATTATAAGGATTGTATCTACAATGGGGATGTGAAGCTACAAACCTCCGAGACTTGCACCCCTCCTGGCTATTTTGAGTCTACAGTCGCACCCTGACCTCATGATTCAACGTCATTCAGCACGTCTTGTACCCAAGGCGGAGTGAATCATCGCATCCCAAATCTGCCCAATGGCCACTGCTCCAAACCCTAAACCGTGATGCCCGACTCTCGAACCCTTTAACTTGAGAGCCCAAACCCCTTGAAACCATCATATACCCTCCTAGACCATCCTAGACCCCAACCCTCTGAAACCTAAATCCTAAGCCCAAATCTTTAAACCTAATTCCCTTGCCCTCCCGCTCCCTCCCCTACCCGGCCCTCCCTGCCTCCTTGGTCTTTCGCAGCTGCGCACGGAGCGCTTCCTCCTTCTTCGTGGCCTCGGCGGCCTCAAGTAGGAGCGCCCAACGTCTCGAGTAGTACCGTCGAAAAAGTAGCATTAACCATAGTTATAGTAATTAACGTCCAAAGTGCTTGCAGGTGCTTGGTGCAAGTGGCAATCATTGTAATACGGACCAGAGTTGTTGTAGCCCAAACAAGCATCCACCCGGATCCTTTTAACAACTGTTCAGCGCCAGAACTATCCAGAACTGCTACTACGGGGGAAAAACAACAACGCGTATGGGCTGTAGGGATAAAAAGCAATGAAGGCAACCTCAAACCGCCCAAACCCAGTCCCAAAGCCACGAACGGCAAGAAGAACCACAAAAAAAAAAAGAAAAAAATGCATGTAGTGATGAAAGTTATCCACGTCATGAGACTGTGACCCAGCTACCAGCAGTCAACACACTTGCCACTCTACTTTCCCCTAACCCGAGAGAACTGATTCGACACAGGCTGAGTGTTTGATTGATCCTCGGTCTGGGCCCAAAACTGAGCTCCTCTTTTTGCTCTAGACAACTGGCTTAGTGTAACCTGACAACTTGTCTAGTATCTCACCATCACCACCAAATTGGGCCTGCCATACTCCCATAGCTCTCGAATGCTGCCGCTTGTGATTCTACAACCCCTCTGTGGTAGGACTGCACTACGATAAAAACTTGCACGCTAATCGAAACAATGATGCCAACCCTACTCGACTTGAGCTATCTAATCCCGAGACAATTCCTGTCCATCCTTGACCAGACCCAGCAATCCCACACAAGCCCGGTATAACCCACGCTGGAAGCCAGGATGTGGATCCCATAAATCCCTTATCATACCATCCTGATGCACATGGAAGTTGTGTAGGCACAGCTTGAGGGCGCCCTTCGGGATGCTTGGAAGTTACACGGATCGTAAGGGAGCGTTAAGATGGAAAGCCATGTACATACTACTGAGTGTTAGAAAACCTGGAATACACCAAACCTCAATCCAAACCCTAAGCACCATACATCCGTCATGTGAACTTTTCTCTCAACTCCTAGTATCCCACATAATAACCCCTACAATTAATCCCCTATAAAATCTCCTATATAATGCCTAGTATCCCCCTTAATAACCCCCACAATAGTCCCTGTGTAATCTCCTATACAACCCTGGTATCCCCCTTTATAACCCCTATAATAGTCCCCCATCTAATCTCCTATATAACCCCCCTGTAAGGAGTTTTGACTGTAGCTCATGTCTTTGGGCCTGGTCCTTGGCCACTTGCTTCTCGTGAGCCAGCTCCTTCTCCAGATGGGAAACCTTTCCGTCTGAAGACTTTTGAGCTTTAGGTATAGCATGCATGCAGTAGAGGTTTACAATCTAGGGCTCAGGGCTCAGGGCTTAGCTTCAGACCCAAGATGAAGGTTGGCCCAAAGCACGGCACTTTCCCTTGTTCTAGTGGACCAGGCCTTCTCCAGGATTTGGCCCTTCTCGATCTCAACCTGGCAGAAGCTGTGCAGAACTCACTCTCTGAACCTGTTAACCCCGCCAGAGGATGGGCCTCGGCTGCATGAAACCCCCCTTTTTCAAGTCTGCTGACCCCGAAACTGCGGTTCTGTCCTTGTGTTGAAGCAGATTTCCTTACTGGCTGATGCCACCTTTCGGAACTGTGCAACACCACGGTTGCACTGGCGAAGTGGCCCTGACTAGTCGAAAGGGCATCATGCTGCAGTTCGTGATGGAAGGTCACATACGAGGGCGAGGTTGAGGGTTACGATGCTGAACCACTGCGTTTCAGGCGCACGCAGCTTTTAGGCGTCCTGGTCGGCACTGCTAGATTCGCTAGATTCAACTCATGATGGGCAAGGCCTGCAGGCTGCAAAACACTGAGAGGGTTTCTGGTTGCAGATCAAAGGAGACAGATGCCCAGGTTTATCGTCTGACACACATACCCAACCTGACCATGCCACTGTGGGCTTGGGAAATGAAGCTTGCAACTTAACTACTGTAAAAAGATGCGAGGGGCGCTCACATCGCTTCAGCAACAATGTGAGAAACCGCTGAACTCCGCTTCAGACTTTACGAGGAACTTCACAATTCAGTTTCAAACACACCCATCCCTGAATAGTTGGCCATTCCAATTCCGCGGCCTGCTGGGCAATCTTGTGCTCTTGCTCCCGCACCTGAGAATGAGGCCAGTGAGCAGATCGAAATAAACTGTCCCTCGCACTTGTAAAGGGTTCGATCATCTTGACATTCAACTCCCTCTCTCAATCCCTTTGGAAGTTTGGATAAAGTAATTACTGTCAGCCTGACTGGTCTAACCTAGCAGCAGTTACTAAGAGGACAGATACAGTGCAGGACGGCAGTTGGTGATGGACCTCAAAAACTATGCTGACTGGGCAGGTGTAGCAAGACAGAAAGGTCTACGCAGTTCTCATGTCTTGGCATGAACCTCATTGCCTATCCTGCAGAGAGTCATCCTCTTTTTGCACGAGTACTACAGCAAGCAATACAGCTCATTTGCTGGCAAATTGTAACCAAGACACATTGACAACCGGACTCCGAAGTCCGACCAAATTATACTAAGCCAAGTTCTCTTCTTATTTGTGAGTTCCTTCCGTTGTTGACATTTCATGGGCCAACACTTGCTAAAGGTATGAGGAACACTCCAACTCTCCAACCTTCCACATCTGGTCCAAGTAGCATGGCGGTCACTGATCAACATATCAGTATGGACCCTCCCTCCTCATGAGCCCCAAGGGTCCAAATATGCTCCGGCCTCCTTCAGATGTCTCTGCTTCACCTTCTGGACCTGCGGGGCTGTCCGGTACCATTGCTGCAATCACTGTAATCAAGACATGCTCATGGTCATCCATAAGTACATTAGAACACAGATTCCCCACAACATTGCGAAAAGTGCGCCACATGCTTTGACTGGCCATTTCGGGGGGGGAAGGGGGGGGTCTCGCAACCAGGTGTTCGGTTCAGGCTTCGTACTTTGAGGATTTGAGCCCCAATATATACCCCCATGAAGACCCCAATTTAAACCCCCAATATATATCCCGAAATCCTAAACCCTAAACCCAGAACCCTAACCCTAAAACCCAAACCCAACATTTACCCCAACCTGGGAATACCGGACCCTGATGTCCTGCAAGGATGCCACTTGGAGACGGGCCAATAAAAGTTGCATGTTCATTTGGGGATTTCCCAAATTGGGGGTACCTTTTTGGGGGTCTACCATTTGGATCAGCACAATGTCAGTCATGACACTAGCGGTACTGTAAGTGAAAAAACGACTGACATTTCGGTGGCTTCCTCTCACACAGATGCGTAAAACCCTTTCAGCTGGCCTCTTCGGCAAAGCTCTCCTTGGCAATCTTAGCCTGGAACCAGAAAATATGGAAGCTTGCGCAGGTTTGCGCGGTAGCTTGTCCAAGAAATGGAACCAAACTAATTTACACAGATTGGACAGCAGGTCCCAACTAAAACAGAGAGCAGGAGATTGTGCGGACTAGGACCTGGGGAACATTTTTTGAAGCCAACTGAGCTGAGCTTGCTTCCAGATTTGGAGACAAGGAAAGAATATTCTATAGGGACTATCATCAGGGACTGCATACGGGGGTCTGCTACAGGGATCCAGTCCTCCACTACCAACTAGCTACCAACAAGTAATTGTCGTCCAGCTACAACTTTGATTCCTTTTCTTCGCTAGCGTTGGGGCCAAAAAAATCCGATGCCACTACGAGGTACTCCTGCTCTTACTACATGTTTGAGACTCTTGAAACTTGCGTCTGTGATTCTGAGAAAGACTCAACAATCTCTGCACCGCCTCCTTTGCGAGCATCTCCTGCACTTTTTTCACCTCCGCAGCATCGTCACGGGCCTGTTGGCGGCACTCATAAGGGTATATGATGATCTCGGCATGTTGTCGCAGATTTTCATAGTCCATTTTTGCGGGAAATGACATGAAGCTGCGGAGGCTTCAGTGTCTAGGAGTCTGGTGGTTGACTACTTACGCATGATCTCCAATATGGTTGTGCCCCTTACCAGCACGAGCACCTGGCCCGGAGATACCAAAGTATCTAAAAGGCCCAAACACGAGAATACCTTTAGGGTGTCAAAGTCAATTGATACTGCCCTGGGACTATTAGACAAAAAGGTTGCGGCTACGAAGCCGCTCAGACCTCCAACTTTGATAAGCAAGGCTCTCAAGACTCGAAGCCCCATCAGCCCTGAGCCCTGAAAGTCGGCAAACATGCAGGGAACTGTACAGCCCGTATCCGCTAGACTAAACCCAACCCATTTCTCACCTGTGCTGCTGCTTTCTCCTTCTCCTGCTGGAGCTGAGCTTGGGCCTCTTTCTCCTGGCTGCAGGGCAGGTTTGTCTCAAAGATTGAACCACCAAAGAAGGGATTCCTTACACCCCTCAGGGGCACTTCCTATCTTCGACATTCAATGCGAAACCTAAGCTCCAGATTCCCCGAGTTCTGGATCCAAACAATCAGACATACAAATCTGAAAGCATGCGGCCGAAATCCTGGCAACCTAAAATGTGGATCCTGGGCTCAAGGCAGCACCCCAAAAATCCGTGCAAACAGCATATGACCCACCAATGTTCCTAAGGAGCCTCACCAAAAACGCGCGTAACAAAGGGATATCTTACATAATCCTCATATGATCCTGCTAAATGTGTGAAGCGCCTCAGCAGCCTCAGCAGCACCCCAAACCCCAAACCAACCCTTAACCCTACACTCACATCTCTATACTCTGAACCCTAAACCCTAAACCCAAAATAGTAGCTTCCATGTTCTTTCTCGTTTCATTTTCATTCATGACATAATATCCCTCAACCCTATATTACCCTACATAGTCCCTATAACCCTATGTCAACCATCGTAAACCTAAATAAGCTATAGTCTAAACTCCTAGCATCCCCCCTAATAACCCCTACAGTAGTCCCCTTCATTGTATAATCCCCTATATAACGCCCTTTAAGGAGTTTAGACCCTAAACCCTAAACCCCAAACCCGTAATCCTAAACCCTAACCCTAAATCCTAAATCCTAAACCCTAAACCCTAAACCCTAAATCCTAAACCCTAAACTCTATATAACCACCCCTTTAAAGCCCATATTAGCACCCGTAGCCCACAGCCCGCCTGCTCTTTAGCCTTGGCTTTCTCCTTCTCCAGGAGGCGCTTGGCGGCCCGGGCCTGCCGGGCCAAGGCTGTCGCCCTTTGGGGGGATGTAGGGTTTTTTTTTTTTTTTTTTTTGTCGGACCTTTT